AAATTTTGTTTGTGTGATTATTCTGAGAAAATATGTAAGTCTGCCATCTGGAAGGATTTTAGACATTACAAAGTCACTGTGTGCATGCCTCAGCAGATGCAGCTTTTGTTCACAGAGTTTTGAGGGCTGTTAATTTAATTAGTTCTGTATTTTCATACACCCATCCTTCCCCCAGTGGTAATTCTACCCAATCCGCATCAGTATAGCTTGATGAAAAACTGATGCTAAGGGCCAAATTCTGACCTAATGTAAATACAAACAACAGCAATTACCAATGGTCTTCAAATAGAATTAAATCTGCTTATAAACAGGTCAGAATTGGATCAATCACAGGATGACTATGAGCTACCAATGTGATGTTGCTATGAAAAAGACAAATCGGATCCTACGATGTATTAGGTGAGCCATTTCCTCTAGAGATAGAGAAGTATTAATACTGTTGTACAAGGCACTGGGAAGACCTCATCTGGAATGCTGTGTAAAATTCTGGTCACCCATGCTCACAAAAGATTAATTTAAACTGGAACAGGTGCAGAGAAGAGCTATTAGGATGATCAGAGCAATGGAAGGCCTATCTTCAGAGAGGAAAGTGAAAGAGCTTGGCTTGATTAGTCCAGCAAAAAAAGAAGGCTGAAAGGAGATACGATTGCTATCTATAAATACATCAGGGGCTAAATACCAAGGAGGATGAAGAGCTATTTACACTAAAGGATAATGTTACCACATGAACAAATGGATATAAGCTTGCCACAAACAAATTCAGGCTGGAAACTAGAAGAGGGTCTCTAACCATCAGAGGGGTTCTGGAACAGTCTCCCAAAAGGTGTAGTAGGTGCAAACAATTTAATTAGTTTTAAGAGTAAGCTAGACAATTTTATGAGTGCAATTGTACAATGGGGTTGCTTGTGGTAGTGGGGGGCAGCATTCAACAGCCCTAAGGCTCACTCTCAGTTTCTGTCATATATGCCTAAAACTCATATTTCAGGTTGTCAGCGAGCCGCTGGCTGGGGCGAGGAAGGGATTTTTTATCCCTTCCCATTGTATCCTGGGATGGTTTGGGTTTTTTTTAAATCTCCTTCCTCTGAAGGGTCAGGGATGGCCCTGGCTAGAGATGCGGCATTGGGCAGCGTGGGCCTGGTCTGAGATGGCACCAAACATTTTTCCCCAGGTCAGATTGGCAGTGACCTTGGAGTTTTATTACCTTCCTCTGCATAAGAAAATAAGAACAACCCTACTGGGTCAGACCAAAGGCCTATTTAGCTCAGTATCCTGTCTTCCAACAGTGGCCAATGCCAGATACCCAAGAGGGAATGAACAGAACTGGTAATCATCAAGTAATCCATCCCATCGCCCATTCCCAGCTTCTGGCAAACAGAGGCTAGGGACATCATCCTGCGTAATAGCTATTGATGGACCTATCCTCCATTAATTTATCTAGTTCTTTTTTGATCCCTGTTATAGTCTTGGCCTTCATAACGTCCTCTGGCAAGGAGTTCCACAGGTTGACCGTGCATTGTGTGAAAAAATACTTCCTTTTGTTTGTTTTAAACCTACTGCCTATTAATTTCATTTGGTGGCCACTAGTTCTTGTGTTATGAGAAGGAGTAAATAACACTTCCTTATTTACTTTCTCCACAGCAGTCATGACTTTATAGACCTCTATCATATCCCCCCTTACTCATCTCTTTCCCAAGCTGAAAAGTTCCAGTCTTATTAATCTCTCCCCATACGGCAGCCATTCCATACCCCTAATAAATTTTGTTGCCCTTTTCTAAGCCTTTTCCAAGTCCAATATATCTTTTTTGAGATGGCGCGACCATATCTGCAGGCAGCATTCAAGAAGTGGGCATACCATGGATTTATATAGAGGTAATATGATATTTTCTGTCTTAGTATCTATCCCTTTCTTAATGATTCCCAACATTCTGTTTGCTTTTTTGACTGTCGCTGCACATTGAGTGGATGTTTTCAGAAAACTGTCCACAATGACTCCAAGATCTCTTTCTTGAGTGGTAATAGCTAATTTAGACCCCATCATTTTATATGTATACTTGGGATTATATTTTCCAATGTGCATTACTTTGCATTTATCAACATTTAATTTCATCTGCCATTTTGTTGCCTAGTCATCCAGTTTTGAGAGATCATTTTGTAGCTCTTCGCAGTCTGCATGGGACTTAACTATCTTGAGTAGTTTTGTATCATCTGCAAATCTTGCCACCTCACTGTTTATCCCTCTTTCCAGATCATTTATGAATACATTGAATAGGACTGGTCCCAGTACAGACCCCTGTGGGACATCACTATTTACCTCTTTCCATTCTGAAAACTGACCATTTATTCCTAACCTTTGTTTCCTATCTTTTAACCACTTACCAATCCATGAGGAACCTTCCCTCTTATCTCATAACTGCTTACTTTGCTTAAGAGCCTTTGGTGAGGGACCTTGTCAAAGGCTTCTGAAAATCTAAATACACTATATCCATTGGATCCCCCTTGTCCACATGCTTGTTGACCCCCTCAAAGAATTGTAATAGATTGGTGAGGCATGATTTCCCTTTACAAAAACCATGTTGACTCTTCCCCAACAAATTATGTTCATCTATGTGTCTGACAATTTTGTTCTTAACTATAGTTTCAACCAGTTTTCCCAGTACTGAAGTTAGGCTTACCAGCCTATAATTGCTGGGGTCACCTCTAGAGCCCTTTTTAAAAATTGGCGTCACATTAGCTATCCTCCAGTCATTTGGTACAGAAGCTGATTTAAATGATAGGTTACAGATAACAGTTAGTAGTCCTGTAGTTTCACATTTGAGTTCCTTGGGTGAATACTATCTGGTCCTGGTGACTTATTACTGTTTAGTTTATCAATTTGTTCCAACACATTCTCTAATGACACCTCAATCTGGGACAGTTCCTCAGATCTGTCACCTAAAAAGAATGGCTCATGTTTGGGAATCTCCCTCACATCCTCAACCGTGAAGACCAATGCAAAGAATGTATTTCGTTTCTCCGCAATGGCCTTATCATCCTTGAGTGCTCCTTTAGCATCTTGATCTTCCAGTGGCCCCACTGGTTGTTTAGCAAGCTTCCTGCTTCTGATGTACTTAAAAAAATGTTGCTATTACTTTTTGAGTCTTTGGCTAGCTGTTCTTCAAATTCTTTTTTGGCCTTCCTAATTGTATTTTTTACACATTTGGGTCACTTGCCTGGATTATCTTGTTAATCTCACTTAATCATTTCCCTGTCACTGGGGAGGGCTCGAGCACTGGGGCACTTTGGTCCCTCCTATTCTTTGCCTGTGGCACATAATAGTCTAGTCTCCTGTGGGTTCTATTACATTTTGATTGTTGGGTTTAGCATGTGAGTGCCGGGCCTGTAATACACGGGAGTTCAGACTAGATGATCTAGTGGTTCCTTCTGGCCTTTGATTGAGAAATTTACCTGCAAACAGCTTCCTATACAATCAATTCCCATCCCTCCCAATGTTTGTTTACAATAGCTTCCTTACATTAAGAAGGCTAAAGGAGGATTAAACAATTCTCTACTCTTTGATTTATATTAAAAAGAGCTATAGATGGTGATCTGGAGAGTCCAGAAAGGCAGAGACATTTTCATTGAGTTTTTGCACCTTACTAACTCCACCCATTTAACTGGATACCAGATAAAGTTTTGTTTTCTTGCTTGTGTGGGGGGCTTTTTGAAGCAAGAGGGAATGTATGGGGGGGTTGTTTGTTTTTAATATAATTACGCAAGGCTGTGACAGGGAAAAATGTTTAACAAAGTTTTAAAATAGGGACTATTTTCTGGATAGAAATGCAAAACTCCCTTCAAATTTTGTACTGGCATTTTAAAATTTTGCCCAATTTATGAACTAAAAATAGGAATTTTTAGCCGATAGCCACACAGTATAACTACCGCATATTACCATGCAAGTCCATTTTTAAAATATGAGTTATAACTGTTTATAACTAAGGCTTTGATCACACAATGAGCAACTTGTGGGCAGACACCTGTACCTGTACAGAGTCCCATTGAACACAAAGGATCTTCACACAGGAGCAGCACCTTCCCCAACCCCAGAATTCAGGGATTATGTAAAAGGTTCAGCTAGAACCCTGAAAAAATGAAAAGTTACATGATGTCTAAGATTCTGTTTCAACTTCAATCACCCACCAAGGTCCACAAATGCATCCTGGGGTTGAAAATGTTTACACATCCCTATAAGTTTAAGAGCATCAGGAACTTTGAGTGCGTACTAGAGGTACACTTGCCAAGGGGAGGAGGCAGAAGCAGGAAAGTGGGGCATTTGCTTTAGATATTTCACTCCTATCAATGAAAGAGGACATAAATATAGCAGGTATTTCTAAAACATGGTGAAATGCGGAAAAACCCCCATACAATTGGATATCATAATAGAGACTACACTCAACAGAATATATAGCAAGGATAAATATTAGTTCATAGGGGTGGAAGTGTAATACTCTACCTAAAAAATTCCATAAAACCTAATGAGATAAGTCATCTGAGTTGAGAGGACTATCCTGCACAATCTGGACGGAGACAGTACAAATACATGACAGGCATCCTTGATCAGGTGGGAAATCAAAGAGGCAACCATTAATAAAATAAAATGTAAGACTTAACAACTACTATCATATAAAACCGGTCAAATATCATATTGGAACAAAGAACATACCTAGATCAATAAAGGCAGTGTCTAAAATAGCAGGGACATCCAAGCATTCAGAAAGTTTATAATGAAAAATTCTATTTCATGCAAAGAGAAAAAGGGGCATAATTTAAAATCTGGGGCCAGATTCTGATCTCATTTACACTGGAGTAAATCACTGAAGTCAGTGCAGTTACTCTCAATTTCCAGAGGCATAATTATATGGATGCTTAACTATGTGGGAAATGTAACTCTGCATTTTCTGACTTTTTTCCAACCTTAACAATGAATTAATATTTTCCAGATCTATCATAAGTACAGTACTTACTGAACCGCTCTTATCAGCATTCCTTTTCCACTGTTTCTTGTCTTGTTTCTTTACTGCACTTGAACATAGAGTTGCATGAGTTTTCATACGGGGATTTAAACCCAGAAGGTTCTGTAGAAAGAGAAAAGAATATTTTAAAATTCAGATAAAAAGCTCAAAAAGCTAATAAAATTTTTAAAAAAATAAACAGTGCTCAACTGATCCCACCTCACCAAAGCACAAATGAATGTTTTACAATGTTAAAAAACAGACAAAAAGCAGGACTCAACAATAGATCAACTTCAAATGAATTTGTTTAGAATCTTTCCTGTTCCAGTTTATACGTTCTAGATTTTGAGTATTTGAGGTACTGCTACATTTAAAAAAAATAAAACAGTATGACATCTAGTGGCAGCTCCAATCTGAATTTGTAATAAATTCTATTGTTGTATGCTTCTTACCTACCGTATATACATACAACATGTAATTCTTTTTCATTATATTGCTCTAGGTAAAACCCTACATTTTGAGAATAAAGACCGCACAGTGTTGCTTCATCGTTTCTAATCCCTAGGAACATGCTTGTATGTCCTACTGAGAAGCTATACAATGTAAATTAATTCCTTCTCTCTCAATAGGTTTTCCTGTGGTATAGCACAAATAAATGTTTGGAACATAGAAATAAAAGTCTTCATTGATCACTTCAAGACTGCGCTCAAAATCAGACAAAGACAGACAATTAATTTAATCCCAGTTCTTCCAGTGACAAGGGTTAATATTAGGGCTCTCAAGCGATAAAAAAATTAATCACGATTAATCGCACTGTTAAACAATAATAGAATTCCATTTATTTAAATATTTTTGGATGTTTTCTACATTTTCAAATATATTGGTTTCAGTTACAACACAGAACACTAAGTGTACAGTGCTCACTTTATATTTATTTTTTATTACAAATATTTGTGCTATAAAAACAAAAGAAATAGTATTTTTCAATTCACCTCATACAAGTATGTAGTGCAATCTCTTTATTATGAAAGTTGAATTTACAATGTAGAATTATGTACAAAACATAACTGCATGCACAAATAAAACAATGTAAAATGTTAAAGCCTACAAGTCCACTCAGTCCTACTTCTTGTTCAGTTAGTCACTCAGACAAACAAGTGTGTTTACATTTGCAGGAAATAATGCTTCCTGCTTCTTGTTTACCATGTCACCTGAAAGTGAGAACAGGTGTTCACATGGCACCGTTGTAGCCAGCGTCACAAGATATTTATGTGCCGGAAGCGTTAAAGATTCATATGTCCCTTCATGCTTCAACCACCATTCCAAAGGACATGCATCCATGCTGATAATGAGTTCTGCTCAATAATGATCCAAAGCAGTGCCGACTGACACATGTTCACGTTCATCATCTGAGTCAGTAGCCACCAACACAAGGTTGATTTTCTTTTTTGGTGGTTTGGGTTCTGTAGTTTCCACATCGGAAAGTTGCTCTTTTAAGATTTCTGAAAGCATGCTCCACACCTCATCCCTCTCAGATTTTGGAAGGCACTTCAGATTCTTAAACCTTAGGTTGAGTGCTGTAGCTATCTTTAGAAATCTCACACTGGTACCTTATTTGCACTTTGTCAAATTTGCAATGAAAGTGTTCTTAAAACAAACAACATGCTGGATCATCATCTGAGACTGCTATAACATGAAATACATAGCCGAATGCGGGTAAACAGAGCAGAAGACATACTATTCTCCCCCAAGGAGTTCAGTCACAAATTTAATTAACGCATTATTTTCTTAACGAGCGTCATCAGCATGGAAGCATGTCCTCTGGAATGGTGGCCGAAGCATGAAGGTGCATACGAATGTTTAGCATATCTGGCACATAAATACCTTGCAACGCTGGCTACAAAAGTGCCATGCAAATTCCTATTCTCACTTTCAGGTGACATTGTAAATAAGAAGCTGGCAGCATTATCTTCCATAAAATGTAAAAAAACTTGGTTGTCTTACTGATTGGCTGAACAAGAAGTAGGACTGAGTGGACTTGTAGGCTCTTCAGTTGTACATTGTTTTGTTTTTGAGTGCAGTTAGGTAGCAAGAATAACTACATTTATAAGTTGCACTTTCACAATACAGAGATTGCATTAAGGTATTGTATGAGGTGAATTGAAAAATACTATTTATTTTGTTTATCATTTTTACAGTGCTGATCGCAGCTTTTTTTTTTCTCCACCGCTTTCTGTGCCCCGAAGAATGAATGACATGATGGCGGTAGAGCCTGTAATTTTGGGGGGTATAACTCATGATTTTTGACTGCTTGGGCTGGTAATGTTGCTTCGAAGATGGTCTTTGGTTTCAGTCCAGTTCCAATCCAGAGAGGGACTAACAGGTTAAGAGAGGAGAGAGGTGTTGGATATCAGCAGTGGCCACTAGGGATCAGCATGTGTCCTGAGAATGCTGGGAGTTCAGGTTTGCAGGGCACAATTACTCTCCTTCTGGTGAATGGGGCAGAGATGTGCTGACCATGGAACCCTAACTTCCTTCTGACCATGAGAGGTCTAGCCCCTGCCCTATCTCTTCCCCCCAATCTGAAGAGATCCCAGAGGGACCCACAAGGTGAAGGTAGCCACGGGATCGCTCAGGCAAGGCAAGCCCTAGGCCTCGTTCCGCACCAGCTGCTGCACAGCCCTGACCCTGGGGGTGAGGGAGATTCACTTCCCATTCGGGCCCAGGTTCCCCCTTCCATCTGGAATTCAGCCAAGCAGTGACTCCACCTTTCTCCACCCGTCCCCTCCCCTCTGGCTGGGATACCAGAGCTCTTATTCTGAAGTGATCTCACTGAAACCGACTCCACAGACAGACCTCCCTCACTTCCCCACCCCATGACCTCCTCCTTCTTTCCCTTCTCATACTGATTGGGACCTCCTCCCCCAACCCCACAGACTGCCCCAGCCATCAGAAATTCCCCCTCTCTTTTATTGTCCCCTCCCCTCACTGCAGACGGATCTGGGGCTCCCCCCGCTGTGGAATTCTCCGCTGCTTTCTGCGCCCCGAAGAATGAATGAAGCGGCGGCAGTAGAGCTGCCGCCGAAGCACCACCAATCGTGGCTTTTTTTTTTCTCCGCCGCTTTCTACGCCCCTCGGCTTTGTGCGCCCGAGGCAAGTGTCTCACTCACCTCACCCTTGTTATGGCACTGCCGATCGGTTGTCCAGTGCCACTGACAGCCTGACCAGCAAGTGGCTGAAGGACTGGCTAGAACACCACAAATGATGTGTTGTGATTGGCACTCTCTCAGTGAGGGCTGATGGACTGATCAATCAAGGTGTTCTTAATATGAAAATCTCATATACTAATTAAATGAATATTGTATGTTTAATCTAGAATCTGACTACTAATTTACTCAATAAAATGTAAGATTGTTACCTAATTCAAAAGCCTTGCTGCAAACAGATATACACAAGCAATTATAGTAATTTCTTTCTTTTTTAAAAAAATTACAGAGAGGTAAAGTATCTAAGCGACCTGGGAGCCGAAACCCAATTTTCAAATGTGTCACCGAAACCTAAATCCCATTGACTTTCAATAAGTCACTCTAAGAGCCTAAATCACTCAGATACTTTTAAAAATGTTACCTCATATCTTTTACAGTTGTGTAACACAGTATTCTTAGTTACGAATATTACAATTATCTCAGCAGGCTCTGAAATGAGTTACACATTTCTAGTAATATACTGTAACAGATGTACTCCTTTGGGTATGGATCCATTTGGTTTAAAACTTGGAATAAATGTTGGGGTAAACCAACAAAGGAAGAATACACATATGTACATGATCTTCATTGCCCGCCAAATACAGGAAAACTCTCAGAAGCAAAATCAGGACCTGTACGTCGCCTTCATCGATTTGACAAAGGCCTTTGACTCTGTCAATTGTGAAGCCCTGTGGAAGGTGCTGGCCAGATTTGGCTGCCCTCCAAAATTTATTAATTTCCAAAGGCTTCTTCATGATCAGATGACTGTCACCGTTCTCTGTAATGGCCTGCAGATGGACCCCTTTTGGGGTTAAGCAAGGATGCGTTATTGCCCCAACCCTCTTCTCCATCTATTTAGCAGTCATTTTGGTCCTCGTTAAAGACCAATGGAGTTGACATCCAATTCAGAATGGGTGGGAAGCTTTTTAATCTTCGACGTCTCTGCTCGAAGTCCTTAGGGCGTCCATTACTGATCTTCAGTATGCTGATGACTGTGCCATCCTCGCGCACACTGAGAATGACCTTCAGTCCACACTGGATTTTTTTGCACAAACTTAATGAAGTCTAGGACTCTCACTCAGCATTGAGAAGACTAAAGTGCTCCATCAGCCTGCTTCAGGCATTCCACATGACCCACAATAAATCACCAACGAGGGACAGACTATGGAGACAATCGAGCACTTCGGTTACCTCAGTAGCCAACTCTCTCAAAACGCAAAAATTGACAGTGAGATCCAGCACAGGATCCAGTGCACAAGTGCTTCCTTTGGAAAATTGCTTTCCCAGATGTTTTCACAGACTATGGCCTACAGCAGGACACCAAATCCAGGTCTATGAAACAAATGTTATTCCTACATTCCTTTATGGATGCAAAATCTGGGTGATCTATCAACAGCACTTCAAGAGTCTGGAGACGTTCCACCAACGATGCCTCCAGAAGATCCTTTGCATCAAGTGGGAAGATTGCTGCACTAACACCAGCATCCTCACTGAAGCCAATGTCACCAGCATTGAAGCAATGATCATCATGCACCAGCTCCCCTGGGCTGGACATTGTGTGCAGATGCCAGACTTTTGCCTTCCAAAACAAGTCCTCTACATGGTCAGAGATCCCGTGGTGGTCAGAGGAAATGCTACAAAGACACACTGAAAACGTATCTCAAGAAAACCGATGTGGACATCACAAGCTGGAAAGAACAAACTACCAACCAATCTCAATGGCACCACATCCTCCATCAGGCAGTGATCCACTTTGAGGAGAAGCTGTGCCTTGCCCTTGAAGCCAAAAAGAGAGAGAGAAGGAAGGAAAAAGAAAGAACTTTCTCCCAGCAGGCATCTGACCTGCCAGGAAATGTCTGTACCTACTGTGGGCAGATT